CACCCTGTGGCTTGAAACTCACAATGAGTATGTGTGCATGTGTTTCTCAAGTCGCAAAAGGAGAAGGGAGTAGACGGGTTGTGGCATGGCCATTTCTCCAGGGACTGATTTCTCACTTTCCCTCTCTGTCTCTCACTCTCTCTCTCTGGAGAGCACACACACACTATAGCAAAGACCTAAAAAAAAAAAATCTTATTTTCATTATTCTTTTTGTTTTATTTTGTTTTCCTAGTAACAGGGTCTTGCTATATTTCCCATGCTGATCTCAGACTCACAGTCCTCTTGCCTCAGCCTCCTAAGTAGCTGGGACTACAGGTGCACCACTGCACCTGGTTTTTTTTTTTTTTTTAAGTTTATTTCTTCTGGGGGAGACAGAGAGAACCTCAAACAGAGTCTCATTGCTATGATAAACCCTCACTGTCAGTCAACTTGAGATAATGAACAAATGTGTCCTGGCTCCTTGGTCACTATATATGAACCTGTAACCTTCTCATGAGGGTCAGCCTTGTAGAGTATTTCATTCTACCACTGTGCCATCATCTGGACCCCTTCTTTTTCTTTTTCTTTTTCTTATTTTTTTTTTTAACTTCTGTAAGGTACATGCATTCAACAAAGAGAGGGAGAGAGAGGAAGCACTCCCTTATGGGGTTCAGTCATGCTACAATCCTTTCTTCTCCATTTTTTTACATCCTTCTGGGATTTGAGACATTCATACATGTGCCCAGCATGTTTTTCAACATATGGGCTCTAACTCCCTGAACCACTATGCTACAGGCTGGCCCTTATTTTTATTACTTTTAATGTATTTTAGAAGTGATGGTTCTTGTTGGCCAGCAGGTGGCATGGTGGTTAAGGCACTGAATCCCAAGTGGCAGACTGCAGTTCAAGTTCTGGACTCAGTACCTTAAAAAATACGCCAGGTACATATATGTGTATGCCCAGAATCCCAAGGGGAGAATGGAAGAGAAGGGATTGTGGCATGACCATACCTCCAGGGGATGATTTCTCACTTTCCCTCTCACTGTCTCTTTTTGGCAAGTGCACACACCCTATGACAAAAATTATAAAAAAAAAAAGTGATGGTTCTTGCAAAGAAAACATGCAGAAATTCTAACTATGAAAAATATTCGTTTACATTAAGTTTACGAGTGACATAGGAAAATACTTTTCTTTTTTTTAAATATATTTTTAAATTTAATTTTAATTTTTTATACATTCAATCATATACATCACTTAGCTTATAAAGTGAATGTTCCAACATGAATATATTTCTCACTAGTCCACTTGGGGATACTATACACATTATCATCAACAGATAATAACCCATTTCTGTGTCTCATAAATGTCTTATTTCTCTATTTTTCTCCTCAGTGTCTTTCCTCAGACTCTTTTCCTTCTCCCGTCCTTTTTCCACACTGTATCCAGTATCTATAACCATTTTCTATGTTTCTATACTCCCTAGTCTTTAAGTTTCAGCCACAGAGTGTGAACAGTTGGTATATATTAAGTGGAGACATACAATGTCTCTCCTTCATAGCCTGGCTTGCTTCACTCAGCAGTAAATCTTCCATATTCAACCACTTTCATATGCCTTTGACTGTTTGTATGTTTTCCTTAAAGAGTTGTTTATTTAGCTCATGGAAAATACCTTCCTTAAAAATTATTTTTTACCAATTTGTTTATTTTTAACTTCCAGAGAGTGCATGTGCTCATCAAAAAGAAACAGAGAGAAGGAGAGGGAAAACACAGCCCCCAAAAGGCCATGGTCAGAGCAAAGTCCCTTCTCTACCATCTCTCCATCTTGTTGGAATTTTGGATGTATACATACATGCACCCAGTATATCTTTCAAGCAACCTGGGCCAGGATTCAAACCACATTTGGCCCAGGGGGACCAGACTCTCTTAACCATTGGAGTATGGGTTGCCTCTATTTATTTAGTGTATGTATGTTTGAAAAAGTGATAGTTGGGACAAAGAGATACAGAGAAATAGAGGGAGGATTTTAGACAGAGTCTTCTCCTTACCCTCTCCTTCTCCAGCCTGTCAATTAGCCAGCATTACAGGTTCCTGCCACTGAGCCTGGCCTATTCTAATTGGTCTGGGATCTGAATCTAGACTTCCGTGTCTGTGGTCCTAGCCTCAAACACCCTACTGCTCACACCACCTTAGCTGGGCATAATTATTTTTTAGTTGATACATACTAATTGTATGTATTATATTAATGGTTTATAGTGTGATATTTCCATGGTATACAAAGTGGGATGATTAAATCAAGGCAGTTAGCATGTTCATCTTGTGAAGTATTTATCACTGCTCTATGTTGAGAGCAGTCAAAATCTCCTCTAGCTATTTTGAAATATACAGTAAATTATTGTTAACTATAGTCACCTTATGTGCTATAGAATACTAGAACTTAGTCTCATGACTAAATTATTTTTATGCATTAGTTTTTGCTACAGTGCACATATGCTTGCTGGAGACAGAAATAGAAAGAGAAAGTAAGAAAGTACCCTCCAGGGGTATATGGCCATGCTGCATTCTTTTTTCTCCATTCTTCTCTTGGGATACATACACATAGGCCTGGTATATTTTTCCAGCTGCTGGGGCTGGGACTCAAACCACATAGTTTGAGTGGGATCTAGCCTCCTTTACCTCCACACAACCTACTAGCCCTACTTTTATTTATCTTGATGAGTACCAAAGATGTAGTCTTTCACATAAGTCTTATTTAATAAGTATTTTCCCATTTTATTTTTAGTATTTTCCCATTTTTATGAATCAGTCACATAACTGCCAAGCAAAGCTTTTATGAAATAACAGGTATTATTTCACTATTATAATATTTAAGATAAAAACAGAATCTGTTATAGGTAACTGGAGAAGCATAATTGTAGATGAATATATAATTTCTTTTAGCTTTCTTAAAATACTGAAAATAGATTTTTCTTTCTGGATTATTTAAGGTCTGGAAACATCCAATAAGTTGTCTATAGTGTAGTTTGGTAGATAAATATTCTAAATAACAGAAAACAAAACAAAGTAAAGCCCCACTAAGTGCCAAGCTGAAAGGTCCAGATCCTAACTATCATAGATAGCAGTTTATTGCTTAGAGAAGTCTCTGAGCTGAGCTGTTTTAGTCAGGACAGGTGGCTAGGGCTGAAAAGAGAGTGTTTTGAGTTAGAAAGTGGCAGGTGTGCTTGTACAGTGGCAGGAATGTTAGCTGTATATTGCGGATACTGCAGTGTAATGAGAGTCTGTCAGACATTTACTGAAAACCGAAAAAGTAAACAGAGTCAGAATGAACCCTGTAGTATGGTGGTTAAGTGCATAGGGAGCCAGATCCCACAGGCCTGACTATGGTTCACATTCTGGCTCACTGGCTTAAAAATACACTACACATGTGTGTGTGTGCATGTCCCAGATCCTGACAGGAGGGAAAAAATGGAGGATTTGACACATGGAAAAAGGTCATATGAAGACAGAAACAGAGATCAGAGCTTGCTACCATAAGACAAAAGTCCAAGGACCCATCAGAAGCTGTAACAGGAAAGGACGGATTTCTCTGAGAGCTTTTGGAGAAAGTGTGGCTCTGCTGATGGCTTGATTTCAAGCTTGTGGCCTTCACAACTGAGAGAGAATACATTTCTGTTGCTTTAAGCCACTGAGTGTGTGGGCCACAGAAAGTGAGTACAGATATATGTTCACTTTTTTAAAAAGAATGATTTTATTTAACTTTATTCATTCATTCATTCATCCATTCATTCATTCTAGTTTGACCAGAGAAGGACAGAGTGAGAGAGAGAAAGTGAGAAAGCAAGCCACTGGGTCTGGGACTCGAACTGCAGTTGGCCACATGGGAGTCCAGTGCCCTTAACCACCATGCCACCTGCCAGTCCTTCATTTATCTTGTATATATTCACTTATCTATTTTTAAAAGTCAGTAGTGGCATAGAAGATTTAAACAACATGCTTAATGACTTGAATCTAATCATTGTATATTGAGCAGTCTACCCCTAAACTGTAAATTAAAATGTTCAGGTACAAAAAAAAAAAAAGAAAAAGAAAGAGATGGAGGAAAAATTGTAATGTAACTATGTTCCATTAGGGGGTGCATTTGCTCTCTCTCTTTCTCTGGCAGGCACACACATCTCTGTCAAGAAAAAAAATAGAAACAAACAAAACAAAAACACCAAGTCAAAGCAAGCAAAGCAAAAGGAATTTATTTGGGCATAAACTGTGGCTGGTGGCTGGCAACTTGGTTGAGCATAGTTCAGGTAGCCCCAGACATGCTCACTAAAGCCTTAGAAGCCTCAGGTTTTAAAGGCAAAAACCTTAAGCAAGAGGGGAGGAAGAGGGGATTATACCAGATCTTTTAGGGCAAGTGTCCTTGGTTACCAAGATCAATAATGAGGATAATGTCAGTTGAAGGGTGGAATGGCAATCTCTGGGCAGATATCCTTGCAGAAGTAATCCTTGTGTCAGGTTGCAGTGGTATTTTGCAAGGCTGTGATCCTGGAGGTTGTTTAGATAACAGCTTTTGTTATCAGGCATTTAGCACGAGAAAATGTCTCTGTGACCTTCCCAGTTCTGTTTTGCCAGAGTTGACACAAATTAACTCCATTTTGATTTTCGAAAACTTTTCAGGGTGCACAAGAAAGTAGATGGAGATTCGGTGGAACAGTAGGTTGGGGTCAGATAGAAGATTCTGAGTTCTTTGGACTTATGCTTTATATGAGAAGACAGTGAAAATGGGGAAAGTCATTGAAGATAGTTTGTATAGGAGAAAGCAAGGAACCAGGGAACAAAGTGGGAGGATGGAGAGAGAAGAGTCAAAGATTTCCAACTGGGACAAAAAATGATACTATTATTACAAACAAAAAAAAGTCAGAAGGGAGAGATTGAATGAAGTGATGCCAGAGATCCCTGAAACTTTTTCTAGAAATTCTTACTTTTTCTGTACTGACTGGACAGTATTTTCATGCATTCTTTTTCTCCTTTAGGGGTTGAGCCTGGCAGAACAGCTCTGGAACGTGGAAGGACAGTTTGAAGTCTGGAGGTCATCTGCCCCAGTCCCTTCTTCTTATAGATAACCAAATCGAGGGCTTCAGGTACTGACTTCCCTGAGAGCTAAACAGCTAGTCCTGTCTTTTGGTATTGCTTTTCTGAAATTCTTGTAGTAAAGGCTACTGTATCAATCCTGCTTGTTGGCAATGTCAACACTGAGTTTTCCTGCCATATATCAGTTATTGACTTGATTCCTCAAGTCGTTTTCCACCTTCTAAACACAAGATGTATTCATAGTTATGGGACCAGCAGTTGGCATAATGGCTATGTTGCTGGACTCCCATGTAATCAACTGTGGTTCAAGTCCCAGACTTGGTGGCTTAAACTCACACTTGGTGCATGTGTGTGCATGCCCAAGATCCCGAGAGGAGAATGGAGGAGAAGGGATTGTGGCATGGTCATCCCCCGGGGAGTGATTTCTCTCTTTCTGTCTCTCTGTCTCTCTCTGTCTTTCTGGAGAGTGCACACACCATATAGCAAAAACCTCTCAAAAAAAAAGATGGATTCATAGTTAAACTAAGTCCAGCTAATCTTGTTTTCCTTTTAGTCAGACACCTAGTTGCAAATCTTTTCTGGGTATGCTGAACCTGGCCTGGGTGAAAAGGATCTGCTTTCTTAATATGTGTCCAAGCTATTGGAGGGTAAGGCAATGTTCCATGTTAACTTAGGATGAGGATGAATATATATATATATATTTTTTTTGGCCTTGGAGTGGGTGTGCTTGCTGAGGAGAGACAGAGAGAAAGGGAGAGAGAAAGTAAGAAATCACTCCCCAGGGGAATGGCAACATCACAATTCCTTCCCCTCCATTGATCTTGGGCACACAGACTTGCATGCCTGGCATAACTTTGAAGCCACTGGGTCCCAACTGTGGTCTGCCACATGGGAGTCTACCTACACCAGCTATACCATCTGCTGGCCTGAAGAGTGAGATTTTTTTTTTTTGGTATAGTTTGCAAGCGCTTGCTAGAAAGACAGAGACAGAGAGATAGAAAGCAAGAAATCATCCCCCAGGGGGGATAGCCACACTGCAACCCCTTGGGATATTGGGCACACACGCTCACGCGCCAGGCGTGAGTTTCAAGCCACCTGGCCTGGGACTGGAACCGTGGTCGGCTATATAGGAGTCCAGTGACATAGCCATTACGCCAACTGCTGGTCCCAGAATGAGGATTCTTATTGGGGATCTTGTCCACCCTTGGTGAAGACCAAAGACATGCGATAGGATTCGAAGTGACTTCTCATGCATAGAATTCTGAATTTACGTGTGGCTGCTACTCTTCCTGGGGAGGAGGCTAGTAACCCCAATGCATGAACTCCATTTTTTTCTGATTTCACCCAACCCCTATGCCTTAGCCCAAACCTAGGGAGTGCCTCCCTTTTTCCCTCTCAAGCCTCTTTCTTCACTTTACCCGTCTGGGGCTCGCTCTCATTTTCTGCCTTCATCTTTTCCAGCCCTTCCTCCCCAAGGGTCACAAATCTAAAGCCCTCACCCCATCCCCTTTTGTTTACTTAGGGCTTCCGCGGACACCTGCCTTCAGCTCTGGGTTCCACAGCCCGGATATCCCCGCGGGTGGAGCCTAGCAAGCCTGGATCCGCCCCCTCGGTGTGGGTGTGGCCTCGGCTGCAGCAGCGCCAACGATTGGCGAGGGCGGTGCTTGGTGAGGGCGGGGCCTGTTGCAGGGGTGGGGCCCAGAGGTTGGGTGAGGGCGAGAAATACAGCGCGAAGGGCGCCGCTGGAAGCGGGTGGCGCGGCGGGGC